ATGGAGGTGAGTTGAGGAGCTAGGGTTTGAAAGTATCGGTTCTTTTCTTCCTTGTGATTTCACGCGTCTGAGCGTCCCTTTCTCTCAATCACTTTCTTTCTTTTCTTCTTTGGATTGGGCTTCTGATTTGGTGATCAGCCCAATCTTTTTCTTTCTTTTCTTGGACAAAATCAGTAATTGGGCCTACAAAATACAAAACCAGTCCATTAGCACTTAAAATCAGAATCCTTCATTTCTATGCAATTTTGGGATTTATATTATACACAAGATACTCTTTCCATTTATATTTTCTCATTAAATCACATGTTCCAAGTCACATATCATGGACTTATCACACCCCCAAACTTACATTGTTACTTGTCCCCAAGGAACAAATTCCAATCAGCAAAACAGTAAGAATGATTACTCATCAATTCTTATCATCACATGTAACCTCATTCCCAATCAAACAGATTTTCAAGATAATTCCAATGATCAAACTCATGACATAAATTCACAAACTTTGTACGTCAAAACAACAGCAATTGAATCAACTAATCAAACAGCTTGGGTAAACATTCAATTCATCAAAACCACTCAACAATCAATGTGCAACTTCATGTTCAAGAATGTACTCAATAGCTAATGGAATAATATAAGATTTTTTTTTTATTCTAATTCTTAACAACAGGGAACAAAATTATCACAACAAGTAATTGAGACAAGTATAATGGCTCACTTCCTCCTCATATTCTCACTCAGTGTTTCAGGGATCTGTTTCTCTTCATACCTCACTAGGAATAGCCTTGACATAGGCTTGATAAGATGCTAAAGTTTCCTAAGTGCAACAAAAATTTAAGGTTTAATCAAAAGGGACTTGCGAGGATTGTACTTTGGCTGAGCTGTGGGTATGATATTTGTGGGAATGATGGCTAAGTAGTTGTGATGAAAAAAATACAGCACATATCAGAGGCACTGGTCTAACAGTCTTAGTGGCTACTTTTCCTATTGCTGAGTACTTTTTTTTCTTTTATTCACCAATTTATTTTTTTATTTTTAACAACTGCATGAGAAAAATAAACACTTAGTTCTAAGTAAACAACAACACTTTACATTTTTCTTCAGCTAACAGTAGCTTGCCTCAAGAATTTTTTCTTTAATTCCTTTCTTGTTTTCCATCACAACTACCTGGTAAGGTGAGACTATGGATGGGTTTCATTGTGGCTACACCTAAAACAAGGCTCAAGCACAAATGGGTTTCCAATGGTCAATAATTCCAGGTTGGCTTTTTGGCTCAACAAGGTTACATGAAAAAGAAAGCCCTTTATCATTTCAAACTAGAACAAATGCTACACTTAATCAACTAAGCATCAAACCAAGTTCTGCCTCATCTACCCAAGTAAGGCTCTCTCATGAAAAAAATAATAATTCAACTATTTAAGCCCAAATCCTCACTGGGTTGTGTTAAATTACTCTCACAACTACTTATTGATCCAATTTTATTCCCTGCCTCAGTCCATTAACATCATCAATCTCTTCCTGACATCATCCCTTAACCATCAAAACACCCTTCTCTCAATGTCTATTTTCACACAACTGAAAGCTGAGCATTTTCTAGAAAAAAATCCAAACTCCTTAATCAGACTCCGTCTGCTATTTTTTCATGCACAAAGTTTTGAAACAAGAAAATTTTATATATATATATATATATATATATATATATATATATATATATAGGGTTTATCATCTATCATTTAACATGACCACAAAAAGTTTCCTACACACACAATATTTTGTGGGGCCCGCAACAAAAAAAAAAACTTCGGCACGCAAAACGAATCTCTATAACATAACACAATCATTTTTCCTACAACATAACACTTATAAAACCCATATATATATATATATATATATATATATATATATATATATACATTTTAACATAACTTTACAAACAACAAACAAACTTCTAATTTTTAAAACAGCATACATATTCACAAAAATCTCCACAGCAAATGAAATAATTTTTTTTTTAAAATCAATTATGGTACTCTCCCCCAAACTTGAATTCAGCAGTGTCCTCACTGTGCATCCAACAGGTTACAAAAATTTACAACAAATCAGAACAATGTAACCTGAGGCCAGAAGATGTTCTGGCCTATTCCTCTTCATAATCTGAGTCTCCAGACTCAGATTTATCCACATCTTCAGATTCAGATTCTGATTTTTCCACTTCATTCTCTTACTCATGTTCACTGACTTCTTCCATAACAGCTTTTGACCGCGGCCTTCCTCTCTTCCTTGAGCTAGTTAATGTGTCTTCCTTCTTGGTAGGTTGAGGAGGAATGTCCTCTTTCTTTGTAGGTTGAGGAGGAGGAGGACCAGTTGTTGTTGCCATAAATTTTTCCACCTGAGGATCAGTAAAAACTGAAGAAGGTGTCCAAGTTAAACTTTAAGGAAATGGAGGCAAACCAGGAAAATTTACAAAAGTTTTTTTCAAAAAATCATTTAACATTCTATCCCTTTCTGCAATATAATCATTTAATATGGCTCTATCATACAACAACATCAACATCAACAACACCTTTATCCCAAATTAATTGGGGTCAGTGGTAGATGAACCCACATGAAAGATACAAAACGGTTGAAAAAAATAAAATAAAAAATAAAATAAAAATAAATAAAATAAAATAAAATAAAATAAAAATAAAATAAAATAAAATAAAATAAAATAAAAATATATGTATATATAAATAAATAAAAGTAAAAAAGAAAGGGACAAGAAGAAGTGGGGGAAATGAAGGAGAAAATGACTAAAAAGGGACCATCTGGAACATAGGAATGACAACGGGTCTAACCCTCCACCATACTTATAGCTTTTCTCCATTCCGTTCTAAGACTTACTGTCCGCCAATCTATATCCCTCTCCATTAAATCTTGTTTTATTACCTTCCCCCAAGTAAGCTTCGGCCTACCTCTGCCTTTTTTTGTGTTCAGCTCTTGGCTCTATCATACATGAATGAATAAAATTGATCATATGTTTTTTGAAACAACAAATCATGTTTTTGATCATGATCATGCATTTGTGAGAGTAACATGTACATATGTGTCAGATCATTGTGCAACCAACCAGGGGGAAAATGATTTAAAGTTGGAGCATCCATATGCTCAACATGCTTTCTAATATTCTCAATTTTCTGTTGTCTAGAGCTCTCACTACTAGGAACAGATTTTCCTCTCTTTTCTTGAGGAGAAGACTGAGTCTTCTGCTCATCAACCACTTTCTTTAATTTTTCCTGACCCATTCTTTTTAATTTTTCTCCTTCAGCCAAAGGTGCAGCAATGCCCTTTTTGAGTTTGTTAATTATGGAGATAGTGATAGCCTCCCTCACTTGATAAAACTCATCAGCAGAATTTGCTGAGACACCCTTGGATTTACACAACAGGGATATAAAGCTGGGGAACCAGAGCTTTCCTTTATTCCAGCTAGCACAAGCTCCAATTCCCTTGAACACCAATTTGGCAGCATCCACAGATTTGCCAACCAATAAACACCACAATAAAACAACCTTGTCCCTAGTTACTATGTGCACATGTGTAGTGGGCAACAACCTAGCTCTAAGAAAGTGGTACCAGGTTTGTGCTTTTTCATTCAAAAAATATTTTTGTAAAATGTAATTTTTATCATTTATGTCCCATTGAGCACCATTGACAGCTATGACCCCTAACACTTCTAACATGAAGTCATGATCATGTTTCTTTTGATATTTTTCAAATTCATCTTTGGGGTTCTTGGGTAGGGAAAAGAATTCCCTAATAGCTTTAGGGTCAAAGGAAACAGTAACACCTCTACAATTTACTGCAGTTTGACTCTTGTCCAGAATTTCAGCATAAAACTCCCTCATAACACTGACATTAGCAGTCTCTTTAGGGTGCAGGTAGAACTTTTCCCAATGCTGGGTTCGGACTACCTCATAGACATAGTCAGGATAAGAGGCATGTTCCTCAAATCCCTTGTCAGGGGTGGGGTCTCTTGCAAGCACGATTTTTTCAAACCTCTGTATAGCTTTTTCAGAGGTAAAAGAAGTGAGGGAATAACTCTCAGGATTAGGGATATGTGGGGTGAGTTTTGGACTGTGTGGTCCTTCACTATGCAGAATATGTTTTCTAACCATGATGCAGAAGAACTAAAACAAATTTAAAAGACAATGAATAAAAACAGCAAATTGTAACTACAAAAACGAAAATAAAATGATGAAAGAAAAAAAACAGAACTAAAATAGCAATTTAAAAAATAGCACCAAGTTGACACTTAGGGCCACTCCCCTAAACTGAAATCTGATCTTCTTCCAGAAGTCGGCAAAGATTTCACTAACACCTGAAACAAAAGAAATAAAAGTGTCAGTATCAGCTGATGCTGTGTTGTTGTTTTTTTCTTTAACTGAAAACTGAAACTAAAAATTATTAACAATTTTAGAACAACAAAAATAACAATCAGAAACAAAACAAAACAAGACATGCTCAATTTAAAGTCTTAAGCTAGACTTTTGTCACTGTGTTTTTTTTACAACCTCTTACACAGAGCAGAATGGTCACAGAGAGAGATGCAAATGCTTGCTCTCTCTATTGACTCTTCAAAATAAAGTTTTAATCTTTGCCCATTCACGGTGATTATCTTGGTCAAACTACAAACAAATAATCACTCATGTACAAAATTAATATTTTTTGCTTCATTGAATTTAAAAGAAAAAATAATAGGCTAGTTGTTCAAATTTTATGTTGAATAGCCACATGATGTGTCGGACAACAACCTCCTTTTTATCTTTTGGTATTATATAAATTAAAATTTGTCACCTTATATAATGTGTGCATAAATAATTATGAATAGACATACTTTTCCGAATATGCAGTTAAACGATATTAATTAATATTTATATAATATGATTGAAAAATCATCAATCCTTACATAAACTTTCGAATATACAAATTGACCTGAATAAACCTATATGCAGTGGGGTCTAGTGAGTGTGTCACAGCTGGAAAGTCAGAGTTTCGTAGTTTCAGTGTTGTCTGTTGGGTTCTTTCTGTGTTAGTGGTATTGCACTGGAACAACGCAGAGGGAGAAAATGCAAGCATCAATTGCATGCTCTCCACGTTCAAATGGGTTTCTCAAAGTCAAAGTGCAATCACACACCAACCTTGTTCCAGCAATCGTGTCCTTCAAACCTAACTCTATTTTGAGTCGAACCAAATCATCTTCTCAACTCACAACAGGATGCAAATTTCAACCTCAAACATTGCTAAACCCTTCCACATCAAAATCACTCATTTTCTACAGCTCTAACCTTGGACCACTTCGGTGCGGCATTTCGTCGAACGGGTACGGCGCAAATGAAGGTAGGAGTCTTCGGGAGTGGGTTGAGTTGGCTGGTGAGGCCCTATCAACAGCATTTCCATTGTGGGTAACAGTTGGGTGCGTGTTGGGGTTGGTGAAACCGAGTTCCTTCAATTGGGTCACTCCCAAATTGAGCATTGTGGGCCTCACCATCATCATGCTTGGAATGGGTATGACTCTCACTCTTGATGATCTTCGTGGGGCTCTTGCTATGCCTAAGGAAGTCCTCTCTGGTTTTGCCCTTCAATATTCGGTTAGTGTCCATCCACTCTGCTAGTTATCTGGAATTTGTATTAGTTTGTTATCCCTTTTGTTGACCATGGAAATTTTAGTGTTTCAAAGAAGCAACACGAGACGATTTTTTATGTGAAGGATGAAATATATAGCCATTTTTCATCTATATGCTCATGAAAATAGATGAATATCACTAGGACAGTATGATACCAAAAAACACCTTCTTTTGCATGTTTACTAGCATTATAAAATCTAAACCGTTATCTTGATGAGGGATCCTTGTTTGTGTGAATTGCTGTCAATTTTCAGGTTATGCCTATATCTGGATTTCTTATAAGCAAATTCTTAAATCTCCCATCACATTATGCAGCAGGTTTAATATTAGTTGGGTGCTGTCCTGGAGGTATGAATTTTAATCTTGTGATTTATGCTTTCTATCCACCTTCACCTATTCTAAGTAGTCTATATTTGGTTGCAGGCACAGCTAGTAATATTGTTACATATCTTGCACGGTATGTTGATTCTTAGAACTGTTAATCCAGTTAATGCTTTTGATGAAGGGAAAAGTATTTATCCTGTTAAAAGGACATTATTGTGTCATTTAAAATAAAATGACTGTTTTATGGTGAGAGAGACTTGTCACAAAATGGAAGATCATTGTGGGGGAGAGTGAGAGGTTATTAGTGGAAAAAAAATTAATTTAAATATTAAGTGAAACACTACCCTTTTACTTAAAATGACACAATATTTTGCCCTTTAAAAGAATAAATACTTTTCCCTATAATGAATTTGATGAGCTAGGTGATCTGATGACCTCTTTGCTTTGCTAGTGGAAATGTGGCACTTTCTGTGATAATGACAGCTGCAAGCACTCTATCTGCAGTGGTTGGTATACTATAATTTTAATCCTATCTTTGGTTTTCCTATTTGATGTGCAATGTCGATGACAAAAAGGTGGTACTGGAAGGCATTACAATCAATTACAAATGTCACCATATGGATTTCTCATGTTCAATATGAGATTGTTTGATGAATACTATCTTAACCTGAAGTGGTTAGTTAAAATAAGTAATTTTGGGAAGTAGACAAGAAATTATTATGAACAATAAGATTTTGCATGAAACGTGCCATCTGGCCTTTGGCTTGATGGTAACAGAACTGCTGGCTTCAGCTGCTGTCCGGGTTTGAATTTGGGCAGTGGCAAAATTTCTCCATCACAGCTTCTTGGCCCTCCCTCTGGTACTGTACTAGTCTAAAAGAAAGGCTTTAAAGGTCTTGTTTGTTTTATGGAAATCACTTTGGAGTATATTTTCTATATATTTATGTGCTGAAGCATAAATGATTCTTTCTTCTCTTTTTGTTTGATGCAGAAAATTATATTATTTTTCTTATGTTTATTTGTAAGATTGATTCTATTATGAACAAGAAAAGATTTTACGTGAAATTTATGGAATATCAATGGGACTATTTTATGTACATTAGTCGGGGTCTAATGGGGAGTGGTTTTTGTTTTACATGTCAACAAGCTTCTCAAGTAGCGCATGAAATGATCTTTTAATCAATTAGCTATGTAATGGCTATTACAATGATCTACAGAGATCCTATTAACTTTCATATTGTGTGTGACGTTCTAATCTTTTTTGCCTCATTTAGTTCTTCAAAAAGGCTATTCAGCACGATGGAATGGTATTTTTTGGTAAACTTTTTCTCACATTGACTGGTTTAAAACTTAACATGGCAGGTCATGACTCCTCTTCTGACAGCCAAACTTGCTGGTAAATATGTAGCTGTGGATGCAGCTGGCTTATTGATTTCAACATTGCAAGTAAGCTTTCCTTCACAAAAGCTGTCTCTGTTTCTAATTTGTTGTTATGCTCCTTTGTCATTGTTACTCCCTTCTGTCATCAAAGAGAATTGTCATTCCCTTCTTCTCAACAGGTTGTGCTTTTGCCTGTCTTGGCTGGTGCATTTCTGAATCAGTATTTCCAACCTCTTGTTAAATTTGTCTCTCCTTTGATGCCGCCCATGGCTGTTGCAACTGTGGCAATTTTATGTGGAAATGCAATTGCCCAGAGTTCTTCAGCAATCCTTATGTCTGGTGGACAAGTAATTTTAGCGTCCTCCCTTCTTCATGCTTGTGGGTTTTTCTTTGGTTACGTATTTGCAAGAATGCTTGGGCTAGATGTATCATCATCACGAACCGTATCCATTGAAGTTGGTATGCAGGTAAAGTTGGTATTCTATAATTGCATTATTAAGCATAGGCAGCTTACTACAGCTTTTTGTGATCATTGGCACAATTCCATATCAAATAACCCGTTTTCCCACTCCATAATGCAGAACTCAGTTCTAGGGGTTGTTCTGGCTACTCAGCACTTTGGAGATCCCCTAACTACAGTACCTTGTGCTGTTTCAAGTGTGTGTCACTCAATCTTTGGTAGTATCCTTGCAGGAATTTGGAGACGCTCTGTGCCTGCTGAGATGAAGGACTGAAAATATCTAGCTGGATGAGCTTTTGCATGTAACTAGGATTGTTTCATTGTTGAATGAAATGCACTTTTGAAAACTTTTTTATATAGAGATTAAATTGAAAATAAGTGTTTAACAATGTCTATAGGGACCATAAATATATTTTAACTAAAAAAGATATCTTGAAATCTTATACTTCCAATTAAAACCAATAAGAAAATAGCTATGATCATTAAGCAAGTGCTAAGCCGTGACATATATGATAATGCTAAAGAGGTTTACAAAATCTTGTCTCTAGTAATGCAGACAACCAAATGATGACCCATGGTTTGAATCTGTATGAGCTAATTTCATAACTATTTGAAAACATAGCCTGTCATGGTTATTTATTCACATAATATGGGGCATGGGAAAAGCCAGCCTCGATCACCCTAATGCACGTTGGTTCTCATTCTCAGCGGGAATGAGGATTGAAACGTTGAGCGTATCTCTTCTGAGGTCATTCCCTTTGTTAGTGATGCAGCAGCTTGGCATGTCAGATCTGAAAGACCCTTATGTTCAGACTGCCTGAAAAAAGACTCAAATCAACTTGTGAGAGTGTGGCTATATATTGGTAACACCACAGTTGATAGTGGATGGATCCTAATGAGTTTTGCGCGGTTCAGAAAAAAGCATCACAAACGGAAATATTTTATCTGCATTTAAAAGTCCTTACCAGTGTTTTAAAACCCAGCTCGGACCGGCCGGGTCGACTCGGGACTCGGTGGATTTCCCGGTCCGAGCGGGTAGTTGAACCGCTTCTGCAGTCAACCCGGATTGAACCGGTTGACCTGGCCGAAACCCGGCAACCCGGTTGACCTGTGTTAGATTGATTATTCCTTTTCTTTTCTTTTTGGTAATTTTTTGTTTGTTGATAAGAACTTTGAATTAAATCATATTCATATTTTATGGTGAATATGATTAAAAGTAAGGTGAAAATAATAAGATATTTTAGTTTAGTGCAGTTCGTTTATGTAATTTAGTTGCATCTTATAATGATCTCATGAAGTTAAGTGGTGATAAACACTGGTGGTATCATGATCTCATCTCAACGGTGGACACTTTTTTCTTAGTGTATATTTCATGCATACTATTTGTTATCATGATAACGGTGACACTTTTTTCTTAGTGTATATTTCATGCATACTATTTGTTATCATGATTTAATTTATCCATATCATGTCAAGCACAAAAGCTGCATTTAACTTATATTGCAATTTTAATCCAATATTAGGATATGGTTTAGAGCTAGAAGCTTAGAAGTATATAATATTTGCTATCATTGAAAATCAATTTATTTTTTGAAGCTTATTGATAGTTTTCTTATGTGAATTTTTATTAATATAAGTAACATTTTTATATTTTTAATATGTGAACAGTAAATTCGGTTCAACCCGGTTGAACCTGGTTGAACCAGTGACCCAGTGATCCAGTACCTCAACCGATTCGATGACCGGTCTAAGTTTTAAAACAATGGTCCTTACTACACTTGGTCAGGTATGAGTTTATTATTGGTTAACAAACGGATTAAAAACTCATCGGTACGGGCCAAAAGCCCAACGGGTTGTAGCCAACTCCCATTTAACACTATTATAAAATATTTTATACAAAATAGTCTTTTTTCATAATTTAATTTTTTTAATAAAATAATATTTACCTACAATTATGCAATGAAGTGTAAGAAAGATTTTAATTATTTTTTCAACAATCCTTGAACAGGTTCTTCTATATAAAAAATATTAAAGTCTTCGCTTCTTATTATATCCTTGAGTGATGATATTTATTATTAAGTAATACTTACAAATAATATTTTTATTATTCACCAAGATTTTCAATATAGGTGAAGAATTTAACCGTTTGATTTTTTCAACAAAAGTTAGTAAAATAAGACTTTGTATACCCATCTCATCTTTTTTGTTATAACAAATCAATTAATGTTGAAATTTTAAATACATTTGCATAATTTAAATTTTTTTACTATATTTTTATACTTTTAAATTTTTTAAAAATATCAATGGATGTTCATAACTATAAAATTTATTTTGTGTTTCTATCATAAATTTTAAGAACTTAGTTATAATTTTGTAATTAATAAACATCTAATTGAAAATTTAGTTAAATTTTTAGAAAATAGAAAAATAAAAATTTCATTAATTTTTTTGAATTATAAGAAACTTTAAAATTTAATTAAATTATAAAAATTTACAAAGTAAATTACCTAGTCTCAACGACAAATGCAAGAGATTATTATTTGTTATTTTGCTTAAGTAAAAAGGGAAAATATTTAAAAGAATATGTTATTGGATTATTCCATATTTAATTTTAACATGACGAAGTCATGTGAATCTCAACAATAAGCATTCAATGGGCAACAGTCAACAATTAATTTAAATATTTATTCTTTTTCCTTTATAAATTTTGTCAATAAAATTGTGACAATTGATTTGTTGTTGCATATCTGAGATTCATCATCATGTTAAAATTATATAAGAGAGGGTTCATATAATTCAAAAATATTAATTAGGTAAATTTGGATGACTCAAATAATATAAATCCGTTAATACAATTTTATCTCTTTAATATTTTAAAATTTTGATATAAGTGCATTTTTCAGTATTATATATATATATATATAATTTTATTGTAAATATCATATAAGAATAAATAAAATATATTTATTAATAAAAAGAAATATCTTTCACATAAAACAGTTCAAAATAACAACTTAAATAAATAATTTTTTTATTTAATCATTAACGTATATTTTTATTATTTTATTATATTCATAATTTTTTATTCATAAATATAATTAATTTTATATTATATATTTATTTTGTTAAGGAAAATTTTTGACCAATGAATAAGCTGTAATCTAACCCACTATAAGCCATAGGGCTTTCGGAAATAGGACTAGAAATGATTCAATCTTAAAACAATTTTAGTGAAGTAAAGACCAAATACAAAATTTTGGGAATCGTCTCGCTTACTCGTTTTGACAACTCTATATATAAATATTCATGATCAACCACTAAGAAAGTAGACTTTATAAATAATATCTTTATTAATTCTAATAACTTGAACTGATTAATGTTAAGTTTAAATTTGGGAACAAATAAATATTAAAAATATTTTTAAGTTATAAAAATGTCTAAATATTTAATCTTATAAATATAACTACAAAAATATCTCAATAAAAAAAATCCTTAAATTGATACAAAAAAAATACTTAAATATTTTTCAGTTTACTTGATATCAAAGAGGTGTGCTGATATCCTCTACCCTGCACACTCTTAAGTCAATAGTCATTTTTTGTTTGGATACAAGTAGAGATGAAAGTTGATTGAGCTAGGCCGAGCTTTGTCTCGAAAAGCCTAAGTTTATGTCAAAAAATCTCAATTTAACCTAATCCGACAGCATAATAAAGTCTAACTGTTAGCCTGACCTAGCCCATTTATTAAAAAGAAAAAACAATGGCTTGGCCTGACCCGTTAGCATGTTAACTTTTAACTTTCAAACAGAACATGAATCAACTTCACAAAATACTCAAATTTTGTTGTTAAAACAAAAATCACAATTTTAACGTTTAAACAAAACCATGAATCATAACAACAACTTATCACAATCTATATTTAAGTCACTTTTATAAGCAGGATGCTCAAACTAAATAACATATATTTCATCAAATCTAACAAATCAATCCATACTATGTAAATTAAAATAATTGCATCAAATCCATTAAAAATCAATCACTACTATGCTTGTAATAGCCAAAAACTTCTTATCATCTTCTCTCCCCTGCAAATACAATTCCAATGTTACATAAGTTGGTAAACAATTTGCAAATGTAGATAATAAAAACAAGATTAAAGAATAGAAAGAAAAAAAAAGATTAAAAAAAAAAACTTTTTTATACCTTTTGTTTTTACTTCTAGTCATACTTTTTACGTAGCCAATTTTCATCATATATTGAAGCTTGAATGATGGTATCTTCAGCCAAGTTAGAACGATAGACATCAATAACTCTTCCTCCAGCACTAAATGTTGATTCTGATGCTACTGTAAATATTGATACAAATCTCATGCCACTCCCAAAGGTAGTATTGGTGGGGGATCGAACCTAGATCCTTCCACCACCTACTCAGCTCACATGTATCAACTGAACTATTATCATTTAGTATTACTAAAAATAATATTATTTTATTTTATTTAAAATAAATAATATGATATAGGTCGGTCTGGAGCCTTTTAGGCCTGAAATGTAAAAAAAAGACCTATAACTTACTTTCTAACTAGACTTTTTTAAAAGTCCGGGACTGTTCTATTGTACTATATGTCATAGGCTGAACCTAACCTGATATAAGCTAGACCATAGACCTCTTTAGACTAGTCCGACCCACTTTCGCCCCTAGATACAAGTCATTAGTCATTATTTCACATTCAAAACAAATGTGCGGGTACAACAAGCAATGCTTTTGGATGATAACACAAGTAATTACAGGAAAAGTCATGCTACACTTTTTTTCACCAACTTTGAAACTTTTAATGGCAATGATGCAAAAATCAAATATTTTATTAAAATAATACAAGTCGCATATATAAGGGTTGTGTGTACGCGATTTGCTAAGGGTGAATTAACACGTGACATGTGCAAGTCTCTCATGCCTGCTATGAGATTAAATGCACACACCCACGCATATTACATCATTTTGATAAAATATTTGGCTTGATAGTTACACTAATTCAGTAAAAAAGGCTCTTATTATCACAGCCGGCCGCATGCCATGTCCTATCCCAATTCCAATAAATACCTAGCCATTTTGCTAACACAAAAAGTCAAAAACACACAATTTCAAAAGCAAGAAATCCTCTGTTAAAAGCTTTCTTTGTTGTTTGACTAAGTTATATATATAAAACCATGTCAATGAGATCGTTTGAAAGAAGCCTTAGCCTTGTTGTTGTATGCCTTATAACGGCCACAACAGCATTAGCTCAATCTGATAATGCCCCAGTCCTTGACACAAAAGGCCATCCTCTTAAGTATGGAAAGGATTACTACATTAAACCTGCTACAACAGATAATGGAGGTCCTTTCACTTTGATTGATAGAAACGGTCCATGCGATTTATATGTTGGTCAAGAGAATTCTAATGTGTCAAAAGGCTTACCTGTTGTGTTCATGGCCTTTGCCAAAGAAGATGATGCTGTGAAGGTGAATAGGGACTTCAAAGTAGCATTCTCAGCTGAAACAATTTGTGTTCAGTCCACAGAATGGAACTTAGGTGAGAAGGACCCTCAGAGTGGGAAAAGGCTTATTACCACCACTGGTAATGATGGTGAAGGTACCTACTTCAGGATTGTGGAGACCCACTTTGAAGGTATCTATAATATTCAATGGTGTCCTACAGATGTGTGCCCCTTGTGTAAGTTTGATTGTGGAACTGTTGGTGGTTTGCATGAGAATGAGAATGGTAAGATTTTATTGGCCTTGGATGGTAATGATCTACCAGTTGTGTTTGAGATGGCATAATACGTAATTTCCAAAGAAATTTGTGTTTTTGTTGTTTACTTGTTGGATTTTCAATTCAAAGGTTTACGTTTGTCAAATATGCAAATAACATGATCATCGCATTTATAGAAATTGTAGATAATTGCAGGAAAATGGGACTAATGCAGCCGTGGCGGAAATCATAGCAAGAAACTATATCTAAATAACATTAGAGAAATAGTAACACAAAATTATTTTATGTATAATAACTCAAATAACTTTAATGACTACAATTCATTTTTCTTCCTCAAGAATCAATATTCGCCTCCATCCATTATGTTCGTGTTGCCTTGCATGGTAATTATGCAACTATATATGACGTGCAAGGGTACATGACAACAAATAATAAATGAGGTATTTGAGACCCTAGTACCTTCCCAAAAAGATCATAGCATTTTGACTCAAATTAAAATAGCAATTACTGTAACAGAATTTAAACTAAAAATAATAAAATTAAAATTAAAACTAACAGAAAGTTAATTTAAACTAGACGTGAATATGACTGTTTTTGAAAGATTTTCTAGTTAAATCAGAATTTAATTGATGTAGGAATTGAACTACGTAAACTTAACTTGAGAATCTGTTTCTTTTCAACTGCAAATTTTTTTATGTAAAGTCTAAACCGAAAAAAAAAATATAATTAATAAAAGAAATAGAAATAAGTGTTGATGAAAATAGTATGAAAAACAGGTTGAATTTTTTGTTTCCCTTCCCCCCAGCATTTAAGGATGAAATGTTGCTTCCTCAACAATTTCCAATTAATCAAACACAAATGCTAATTTTTAATTTCTTAAAAGTTATTGTCTCCAAGGATTAATCATTTGACATATTTCTATGTAAGTGTGACCTGGAACCGGAATGCTCAAGTTCTCCGTTACATGGGAGACTCCTTCATTTCTGAAGTGAGGTCCATTGAGTGATTTTTCACTTAACTCCATGAGCTCAAAGCAAAGTCTGAGATGATTTGTTTCTCAACAGATCACCTCTCAACAAGCCACCCATATTCGGCCTTAATACAACAGCTTCAACATTAAAATAGCAATGAAGGTACTGGAAATGGATGCAAGGGGCTTAGGTTTATTGTTTCTGCCCTTTACTTTTTTTTCCCCGTCTTACCCTTCCGATTTAGGTACTGGAAATGGATGCAAGGTTGGCTTTCAAAACTTGAAATAAATCCAAGATGTATCAGCATAAGACTGTGAAATTGGACCATTATGTAGATTGAATAAGGCCTAAACAAGTCTTTATTCAAAGACTTATCAGTTAGTTATGCGAGACTAACATTAACTTCGGTCATTATATTAACAATATGAGTTTTATTAATTTCATGTTAAAAGAAATAAGTTATCTCATGTCATAGAGATAAATTTGTGGGCTCCACCACCTGAAAAATAAAAAAATAAAAAAAAATGACACAGTTATCGAATGGTGTGTAGGAGATAAATTTATCACATGTAACATACAATATTTGTTAGTAATTATCTTTACACCACTTTTCAAATAATGAAACAAGAAAAGCATTATTTCAATGGGTGACAATTCACATTGACATGACACGGCATGATAGGAATTTAATATGAACACAAATACACTCAACATGAACATGACACAAAATTGCAAACATGTCAAAACCTTCAACACGAATACGACTTGTTGATTTTGGGGGTTGACACGACACAAATAACATACAAACTTCAAAGTTGTTACTTACTATGTGGGTTGATATGATATGATATGACACAAATAAATAATCTGTCAACCTCAAAGTGTGTTACTTATTACACGGGTTGACACAATATAAAAAAACACAAATAACCTATACAAAAATTAACACAAGTCGATTTTGTGTTTGCAGGTTGACACACAATAATTATAGATTTTTTCATGTTAGTTTTTATCTACAAGAACATGAAATAAATTTGAAAATGAATCAACTCGAACACGAATTTCTAATATTGTTTCGTTGAAAATTATCACTTCTAATTATTTCCAATATACCCTCTCCCTATCTTTTATGTTTCCTTTTCCCAAGCTAAAAGCATGAAGGTGATTTAACATTTTTGATGTAAAATACAATTCTCCTATGTTAACTTCAAATATCATACCTAAATGTTGCTGTTATACTAAACAATAATATTATTTGAACATTATTCTTGTTCTTTTAATTGTAAACAAACAGATCCTAAATACTTAAATTATAAGATGTTCATTCAAAACAAAACTAATCATTAATTTATTTAAAAATAAAATTAATATCAATTTATTTAAATTATCTTGTTGACATTTGGTGCGTAAATTTTAGTTAAAAGTATTACTTAACGTTTCTCTACTATGTCACTAAATTAATTGCTAAAAGACGATAGTATTTGAAATAACGCAATCATACAATTATTAAAAGATGATTTTAAAGTAAATATTATTTATAATTTTATGAAGAATGATATATATATATATATATATATATATATATATATATATATATATATATAATTATAGGGACAAGATCCTTTAATATTGGTGTTAAACTTTTTAGTTTGACAATCAATCTTAACCATTAATTTCAGTCAATCTAACGGTTATAATTTTTATTGAGAAATAATAATTAATTACTAAATATGACCTAATAAATTATTATCATTAGATTCATAGAAATTAATGATTAAGATTTGATATTAAAGGATCGAATATATATATATATATATATGTGTGTGTTTATTAAATTATTTTCAAAAATATTCTCATATTTAATTCTTGAGGAAAAAAATTAACTTACAACTAATATAAAATAGACTAGGGTTATACAGATATATATATATTTTTTTTTTACAAATTTACAAACTACACTATGTCTGATCGGTAATGTTTTACTCAAGAGTATATTACCGGCCAGACATAATGTAGTTTGTAAGAGTTTGTAAATAAAAATTTGTAAATATAACTTTTCCTTATAAAATGAGTACATAATAATATAAAAAATAAATAAAATTATTTAACTTTATACTATGGGTTCGCTTTTTCTGCGGTTACCGTAGATAAGTTATCTGCAGTAAGCCCAATACGACGTCGTTTTGGGCAGAAATCATGGTATTTTTGTAATTTTAATTTATTTCAGGGTTATAATAGTTTTTATATTTATAATTTTTTAATATTTCAACACCAAAACGACGTCGTTTTGGGAATAAATGCAGATAACTTATCTGCATTAACTGCAGAAATATTTTTTCCTTATACTATTTAAAGATAATACAAAAATAAAAGTTAAAAGTAATTACAAAAGAGACACAGATAGATTTTTTTTATTTTTTTTTTGTACATAGACATGTATAGGCTTTCATTGAGCACACAGTGTATCCCAAGTTTTACAAATTAAGAAATAGTTAATTTTTCAAAAAATATTGATTTAACGTAATTAAATTTGGATTAAAGACTTTTCATGTTACGATAAGAATAATATATTCTCTTACGTACATAATAAATATGTAGGTCCCAGTAAAAAAATTCAATAGGACTCACATATTTATCACGTGTGCCGAAGAAAGATGAGAAATCTTTAACCAATTATATTTGGGTTAATAGTTGGTTGTATGATGAAATTTCAACTTTCCCAGTACTAATAAAAAAACGTGGGATCCACAAAAAAAAAAAAATGGCCGATGGGACTGTTGCTATCTTTGCTGGAAAGATAAAAATATGATTATGTCATTTATGTGTGTTCCTTTATTTTATTATTATCTTCCGCGAGACATTACAGTTGAGTGAGACTTGACGATAAAGTTAGAAATCCGTTATGCATATTAACATTTTGATCGCGTCATAAATGAAAGGCCGAAACACGATCTTCCTTAGATTCTGGTTGCAAATTGAAGGCGCAAAAGTATTTTTATAATAAGTAACCATATATATATATATATATATGAAAAACATTTCTCAAGCTGCTTGAGATAAATATATCTTCGGCCACCTCAAAACTACGTCGTTTTGATTATTTATTTCCTTATATGTATTGATTCACTTTTGAATGGTTATGATTCCCCTTTTCTCTCTCTTCCTTTATCACCATTGATCCATCTTTGTACGGTTATGATTTAGTAGCCGGAGATAATTTTATCTCCGACAACTTGAGAAATGATAAGCCCTATATATATATATATATATATATATATATATATATATATATATATAGGGAAATGCTACTCTCATTTTACGTGAGAGTAGTTCTCTTATGTTATAGAGAGAAATCACGCAGGATCCATCGTTAAAGGATAAAAAAGAAATAGAAAAAAGTGGGAGAAATTTTTGAAGTGAAATAACATAAGATAATTACCTTATATAAAATCAGAGTAATACTTTCCATATATATATATACAACCAATAGTGGGATTCACCAATTGTTTAAAAAAAAAAAATTGGCTGGCAATGGCATGGGAAACAATGGCTTTGCATGAAAAAAAATCCATAACCTGTCGCATAAGAGCCTTATTTGCGCACGCACACACACACACACATATATATATATATAATTGGATCCTTTGATATCGGTGTCATTAAAATTTGACATCAAATCTCAACGTTTGATTTTCACCAATCAACCGTTATCATTTATTGGGAATTAAACTTATTAATTATTATCAATTATCAATAAATGATAACCGTTGATTGGTGAAAATTAACTGTTGAAATTTGGTCTCAAATTTCAAAATTTGACACCAGTGTCAAGGATCTTGCCCACACACACACACACACACACATATATATATATATAGATGGATCGTTTGACATCAGTGTCAAATTTGAAATTTGACACCTTATCAGATATTTGTTAGATAAAAAAAGATCAATGGTGTCACATGCTTACAAATTAGAGTCGTTGATCTTTTTTGATCTAACGGCTCTCAGGTGAGGTGTTAATGGATCCTACCTCATATATATATATATATATATATATATATATATAGATATATATATATATATATATATATATA